ACATGCATACATGTTATTATAAAAAAGATTAAAAATTATTTTCAGCAACAACAAAGGATTAAAAATGTTTTCTATAACTGAAATGTAGCCCTTATGAATTAAAGTAGACATATCCTGCTTTTAAATTCCCTTTTCACATTTAAATCATTCAGTTGTGTCTTTTTAAAGTGAAACTACAATGCTTTGGTCTGAATACCTCTTCTTTTAACTTTACCAGCTCCAATTTCACCCATTTTCTAAGCTGTGTCTCAAGTAGCTGATTTTAGAAAATTGTAGTTGGTACGTCCGAAATCTAACCTGGACAGAAAATAAAGATATCTCTGTAGCACCAAAAGAGACTAAATTAAGCTTTTCCTCCTCCTAGAGACTCCAAGTCCACAACAAAATGTATTTAACACATGAAAAAGTGGATTTTGCAGGATATGTTASCTTTAACATCAAACTGAAAAATATGAAACCGTAAAAGGGACCTTAAAGACTTAAATTTACAACACTCAGTGAACGCTCCACATCATCTTCTCATTCCAGTATCTTTGTTTTTATCTTTTGACGTTATTATCAGCAGTAACAGGGCTAAACTTATGACAGAAAATTTACTCCTTTAATTTAACTTATTTGTTTTTAAGAGATTTATTTTACACAAGTCTTCTGAACCCTATCTCAAAAAGTCAAACTATAAGTTTTCAACTTCAGAAATATTTGTTTCATTTCCTACAAATGGCACTTTGAACATAACTGACTTATGATTTAGTCTGATTGTGACAAGCTCCTTTAAATTTCATCTAACGCGAAAATAAATAATAAGGCCTTTGTTTGACCTAGTTAATAAAAAAAATCATGGGACCACTTTTAAATGTGAACCACTCAAAGAAGTATGTACGACGAGTTGTTTTTGTCTTCATGAGTAACAGACCTCAACCTGTGGCAGCTGATACATTTCAAAGCTTTACTAGAATGAATTTTCATCATATAAAATGAAACATTCCTTTTAGTGATCCAACGGTCCTATTTTAAAACAGGAATCAACATAAAGGTAAAACTAAAACAAAATCACAGGTGAAGCAGAACAATCTGTTCCTGTGAATGTTTAAAATAACCAACAGAATGCAGCCCTCGTTAAATCATCAACACCCATCTTCTTTTCAAAATATCTGCTACAAAACAGACTTATTGTTGGACTTTTCTACAGAACTGACTGTGACCTAAAACAAACCTTTGTTTCTACACTTTAAGTCTTCCTAAGTATCATTTCAATCTAGCCATTTGTCTAACTTTGCATTAAGTTAGTTTCACACATGGTAACAGACTTGTCTTATTTTCTCTTAGTTTTACAAAACTGATATTATTGAAACATGTTTCCTTGAAAGACTATTTGATTTCTTACGTCACACCTAGGAAACTGCTGATTCATGACAATAAAAYGTATTAAAACAGCGTTTCAGCTTACTGAGGTTTCCTCTAATGCAGTTTAGAAAATGTGAAGGACCACAGTAACCAAAATGATTGACCAACACTGACCAATAGGGTGAAGATTCAGTTCTTCAAAAATATTAATTTTATGAAGTTTAAAAACATTGGTGTTTGTTTTTATTGAGAAATACTTTGTTTATAAGGTACAACCAGTCTCCACTAGTGGCACCTGTTCCACTTAGATATTTATATACCGTATTTTTCGGACTATAAGCCGCGACTTTTTTCCTGAACTTTGAACCATGCGGCTTATAGACAGGTGCGGCTTATACATGGATTTTTTTCTTCAGCCACCAGGGGGCTCTTATGCTCCATTTGCTTCAACCACTTGCTTCAAAAAAAGAAAGGAAAAAAAAAAAGAAAAAAAGCGATTGCTTCCAGAGCCGACTGTTGTACCAGGAAGCAGCAATTTAAAGATAGTCAATGGCCAAAAACTCATAAAAGGGGATAAAACAGACATTTTTCACAGTGGAATCTGACTGATAAAAACTTTGGAGCTTAATCCAGGACCAGTTTGTGGACAAACGTTAAGTGAAGAGCCGCTGACTTTTTTTTCCCTCATTGCACTCCCCGGGGAGGGAATCCCATGCAGTGACGTATGATGGAGCGCCACCACAGCTTCAGAGCCAGCATTACCCCGGGAGGACAGCGACACACTGAACAGATACTGCTGCGTGACGCAGCTTTTCTCAGCTTGTTTAACTCCGACACTGAAGAGGAGGACTTTGACGGTTTCAGTGCGCCGGAGGACGATGAATGAGACGTTTTGTTGGACCAGAAACTGTTAAAGAAAACTACCAAAATAAGGTCAGTTAAATGAACCGTATTCCTCCGAACTTTAATTCCTAAAGGTTTGCTTTTTATGTTTTGACGTTGAATTCACTTTTTTGACGGCAAATTTGGGTGTACTGGTTTTTTTTTTTTTTTGTTGGGGGTGTGGCTTATAGTCCGGTGTGGCTTATATGTTAATGTTCGCGGATTTTTTAAAAAAAATGGCGGGTGCGGCTTATAGTTTGAAAAATACGGTATTTAAATTCATGTGGGAGATTCTGAACAGAAACAAACCATTCTTTGAAAATTTGAAAATTTTCTCCCACCTATTTTAATCACTGAAATGTCGTTTTAACTGAAATGACAGCTAATTGAAAATAAAAACACCTGCCCTGTTCAAGACTTTTTCTACTTATTCTTCTGTCATTTGAAATCCAGCTGTTCATCCAGAGATTAAATCAATTCACATCTCTGATTAACTTGTCTAAAGTCTAACTGAAACCTTATCATCCAAGTAACACCGCCATTTGTGACCTCTAYACTACAAATATWMAAAAAACAACAACACACTTTTCCCTTAACTCATGTTAAAAAAACAACAGAACCACTATAGAAAGCTAAAAAAAAGGGGGTTTTAAAAGTTAGCAGCTATTTTAAGATAAAATCAATTGAAGTAATTTTGTGGTTTATCCTGTGGTCAAATCTTTGCTCAACTCATTAATTTGATTTTAGTGACCCTAAACGTCTTGGGGCAGAAACGTCACGCTTTCTTCGTTCCCGTTGATCTGATCACCATTTAGAGGTGGAGAGTCASGGTCGCTGGTGCTATTGGCTGTTGGAATAAAAAGCAGTGTCACTTTAAATGCACAAAAATGATCCTATCAAGGAAGGCCTAAAGATCCACTGAAGGAAATAACTCCCCAATTACCATCAGAAATGTACAATGCTCTCTGGCATGCACTAGCTACAAAATATGCTTAAGAAAGCTGGTCTTTCTTTATAGACAAAACCTAAAACTATCCTCCAARTTTAAAAATAAGACATGAACTTTTACAACTAAAGTTACTATGAGTTTTTTACACCGAAATACTTACAACTGACACCAGAGTCGTCGTTGCTGTAGCTGTCCCTTGAACCTGTGAAAAACATTCAGGTCTGATTGTTTGTATTGAAAATTATAAATAACCTAAGTGTGTGTCATAGAAAACTTGATGAGTATTAATATTACAAGACAAATAACATAGCAACAAACAAGTTAAGTAGCTGAATCCACTGTTAAATTCATACATGTGAATTACCTAAATATATTTTACCAAGACCCACCTGCCACTGCCAGTTGTTAAAATATACTTTGGCATCTTAGCCTTGTTGAGAGGTTCAGTCACAGCTACACAACATCCAAAAAAATGTTTTAAAACTCAACAACTGGACTTCTATTCTGACGCTGAAGACGTTGGAGCTTGGAACTCCACACTACTCCAGACATCCTGAATTGAAAAAGCTTCTTAGACATGAAGTGAAACGTTTTCATTTTTAGAATAGAAGTGCAGTTGTTTTGTTTCTTAAGCCTTTTTTGATTGATCATGACCTGGAAGACTAACAATCTTCACCAGCGTACACACCTTAGTGGTTTAACCTGCTTGTTGGAAGTTTATCTGCAGTCTTGCACATTTGTAATGTTGGTTATATTGAGGGACTACAATTTTAGAAAATTGTAAGAACATCTGAAGCCATAGCACAAATTATTTCTGTTCAATAATCACCCRCTGCTCAGATGCCTAAAGAGTCAAAAAATGACTAGCAACTGTCTTCAATGAATCAGAAAAATGTTACCTGGTTTGGTTTGCGGATTATTTCCACTTGAAGATCCTGTGAAAACAGATTACGTCAGTAATTATGAAGGATTTCATCATGTGTGCTGAATAATCTTCCATCTCTTTAAAATGCTCATTAGAAATGTTATTTTGTTTGAAAAACCTTAAAGTCTTCATATAAATCACAAAACAGAACGAGTTCATTATTCATATGATTCATTTCAACAGTGAATGAATGAACCTGGAGAGGCCTGGAACTCAGCTGTGTTGACTTTGAGCCGAACACAATAAATGTGTGAAGAACGTCTCCATCGTATTGTTTTCACAAAATGGTGAATGACTTGGTTAACAATGCTCTTTGTGGTTAGCTAACTTCTTAAAACTAAATGCATCACGATAAATCTTACCTCAKTAAAAATATAAATACAATAAATTGAATTAAATTACACTGAAAATATACTTACCATTGATAAGGGGTGCATTTTGAGAACCATTTGTATAGACTGCAAACAGAAAAAYTGCATAAAATTTGTGAAGACCAAAAGGCTTTAACAACAGTTTGCATTTTGATGTTTGTTACCCTCATTTGGTAAATGATTTAGACTCCACTAATAAAAATTTTGAAATACTAATTTTGATAATTTTATAACAAAATACAAAGCTGAAAAATAAACACTTACCTTGCCCATTAATCCCACTGCTAGCAGGAGCTGGACCTTTTAAAAACAGGGTTAAGATAAATACATATATTTACACATTCAAATAATTCAGTAAAATCGCATACATACATACTGTACATATGCATATATATACATACACTCACC